ACCTTCCTGATAAGCACACACTTTTTTCCATCTGTTTTGATTCTTTAAGTTTACCAACATAATGGCTAAAAATTAAGATAGTAAGTATTGCAAAATTGAATAATGGCACGCGTTCCGAATGACACAATCTTGTTATCAATTTGATGGAAGTCATCTCAATTCAGTTATCTATCATTCAGTTATGTAATTTAAAATCGACAGAAACTCAGATAACACAGGTTTCAAAAATGTAACAGTTGACAGTTGTAAGACCATGAAAAAAATATTGGGGCAAAATATTTCCTATATTACTTTGGTGATACTACCAACAAAAACACTATTTACTGCATGACTTTTAAAGAATCGAGTAATTTATTACAAAATACATTCCTGTGTACCTGTCAGTTTTCTGCAGTTCCACAAAATTAAAACTTTACATATTACTTACGGAACTAAAGGTTAAAAGCACATATGATATGTGATGAACTTTCAGTATTGGATTCGTCTTAGTGACTGACAGTGGAATCTATGACACGCGTTTCGTCACTGGGATGTACCTATACCCCAATGAGGGAGGTTTCTCCCACTGAGACTTGAACCCAGTACCCATCTCTTCAAAAGCCAAAGCGTCATCCACTAGTCCTCTGAGGCGCGCGTCCGCGAGCTACCTGGACTCCCCTGCGTGTCACCAAGACGAATACAACATCGTGAGTATCCAGCAGTATTGAGGTGTCCTCATAGGAGCCCATTTGCCAACAGAGGTCGAGCAATTCGACCCTGTATAACAACGGGAAATCGCAAGTATCAAACACCAAGAGCTATCAGTATGTTTGCTTTTATTCGCTGTAGTTCATCAGACTTGATCACCATATCCTTTAAACCAAACAAATATAGACAGGGCAAGCTATGATGTTGTTAAGTTGCACTGTGGGACTAGTCTGCCACAAAAAATGTAGTCCACCCCCTACTTACGTACAGTGGAAAGATTATAGGTGAACTGTTGATAAACCATTTAGTTTGAAGATGAAGCATCTACCTTGAGGAACATTTCGAACCACCCTGTTAAATGAAACAGGTGTCGATTGAATATGAAAAAGAATATAGTGGATAATTCAGTTATTTCATTGATTGACGTTTGCAGTTTCCCATTGCTACACTGGGTCAAATTACCCGACCTCTGCTGAGAGATGGACTTCTATCCGGATGCCTCAATACTGCCTGGATATTTACTATATTGTAGTTTATTTGATAGCTAGTCACGGAAATTAAGAACAGCGTTTCGTCTAGTTTGGGAATTCTCAGCTAGATGTACCTGCATCTGGTTGTTTTTTTTATGTCCGTTGCACAATTGGTGACTGTTGTGTCTCAATGGTCTAGCGGATAGCTCTCTGGGACTTGAAGCAATGAGTACCGGCTTCCAGCCTCAGTGGGAACAACATTACTCACTGGGGTGCAAGTGCATCCAACTGGTGAATACGAAGTAGGACGAAACGCGCATCCTTTATTCTGCTGCTAGCCATCAAATAGACTATACTACGGTTGTTTAATTTTCAATTTGGAATTCAGTAAAGGTACCTGACTATGATATGATGAATTATTAATTTCAGTACAGCCTTTAAATAAGTGAACATTTATGCGAAAAGAAACAACCAACGTTTCTTCAACGAAAGCACTAAAACACTTCAAATTCATATTTTATTGTTAATCTACAAATTGAAAAAGTTACACTTACATTTTATGAAAGAATGTTGAGTGCATCAGTGGCTATATTTCCAACATAAATTCCTATAAAAATAACTGGTGAGTGGTACTGACAGTAAGAAAGCGTAGTTACGAGTTAGACGGCTTTCGCTTGTTGGTGATGTTGCTTTCAAACGATTATGCAAAATTAAAAGTTTTCTTTATCAGTAATTTACAATTCAACCATCTTAATTCACTCCAACTGTCTTCATTCCGCATACGAAGTTGTTGTATAACATGACAAATGTATATTTTAAGGTAGTATTCATCATTGATTGAGATCAGTTAAAGAACCACGGAAAACTAGGGAGCTCTGGAGAGATGTTTCATCCTTGATGAATCGGATTTTAAAGGTAAAATCATCATCAAACTCAAAATACATTAGTATATGATGGTTGTTAGTGACATACCTAGAGATGAATAACCCGAAGTTCTAATGAGAAGTTGTCACCAGTGGGGTCAAACAGTCGAAAGTGAAATGGATGCCAACTGAAGACATTGGTGTATAGTCACGCTACATTACGAATTGATAGAAGCAGGAAACTGGGGTCCGACACACTGGATGACTAACGCCTTCCCCGTCGAACCTGGAGGTTCTGAGTTCGATCTCCGGATGTGTACGTTCATGGGTGAGCACTGCTGAGGATACCCATACTGAGACGAAGAAGGTGTGGAGTGTTTCCAGGTTTTCAGTGGTTCTCCAAGTGATATCAGTCCGTGATGAATACTACTTTAGAAATAGAATCCCTATTAACTCCAAAAGACAAATGTACAATTGTTTTCATAATATAAAAACATTGGCAGAAACAACTGTCACGGCAATCAAAGTAGACAGAATATTGAGGACATAATTAACCCTTGAAGTTTATGATTGTTAACACCAGTTCTTTGGAAAATCGTAAACTTTCTAGTTATAGTTTCTCAAACCATCAAAATCGGTGGTGGAAACTATAGGCAATATAGCTGTGAATTAAAAGTTTTGTAGAAAATACATTCAAGCCTATCTTCATCGACGCCTAAGAATGTTTATTATTGCATATATTTACTCACTTTCAATCATTCTTCTCCTGTTAGTCAACTCCTTGCAAGTGTCAGTGTAACTGCTTTCACCTTTTCGTCTACTGCTCTATTGCTTTTCATCCTTTGTTCCAAATGTAAACTGCAATACCTTGAACATAAATCGATTTGCGTAAAGTTCAGTATCATTTATGTTAGCTTGTTTGAATAGAAAACGGACCATTGTATGCAACTTGTATGCCTCCCGTTTTGATGATTTACTACTTACAAAAACATTAATTAAGACAAATATGCATATACTTCAAGGTAGACCAAATGAAGTTCAATACAGCAAATAAAACGGGAGTAGATACAACAGGAATGAAAACAGTTAACACTGAATGAGCAATAAACTTTTAACTGTGACACAAGTCAATATAAATCCTAACGAAGATTTAAGATGTAATCACCATAAAACAGAAGAATGTTTACTAAGTAGTAAGAAGTTCATTTATCCTCTAATCAAATTTAAGCTATTTGTATACCCTAGAAATTGGCCTTGGACACTCCAGAAAACATGTCTGAGTGCAGAAATTTAATTTTCAACTTATCATTATGAGTTTTCGTTTATCAGCAAACTTTAAGTTCGTGTACAAATATCTGATATCTTCAAAACTTGACCATACCCTTTCGAATTAGTAGAATACTCAGCCTAGAAAAACTATTTTGATCAGTGATAATGAAGTAACAGGTATCATTTTCATACTGGATTAGTTTGTTTGTTGGTTTCTCTGAACTTTCTGTATTTTGTCATGGATATTTCATCAATTGTCATTCTTCTTACCAAACCAAAATTGCTTTCGGTACTCTGAAGACACGTTCATAATTCTTAAGGAGTATGAAACAGGAAATATGTTCAAAATAATCAACCAAACCTTTGAAGGGATTCATTTCTCGAAAACGTAGAAAGGTAACAGTAAAATTCAGTTCTTAGATATCCTCATCAGCTGAACACAAAATGAGACTTTACAAGCTCGTACAAACGGACGAACTACACACGTTAATCACATTTTGAACTACAACGGTAATCATCCCAGTGTCCATAGGCAGTATTATTTACAGACATTATTCTCAAAACCCGAAACACATTGCAGCACTGAATCACTTCCGAGGGTGTAACAAAAATGCCTGTAAGAAGTATTCAAAGCCAAGGATTGTTCACTCAAGTTTATCAACATGTGTTTGTCATTAGGAGAGAGGAGAGTACAACTACCCCAAATCAACAAGTGAATTACTATATTCTACAAGGGTGGTGTAGAAGTCGTTAGTCGATTGTTTCGTCCGTTCCTGTCTGAGGTAGCCCACAAACCATCGAAGTCACTACACAATAGGTTATGTGAACGAAAAAAATTCACTACTAAAGGACAAAAATAATCTGCAAAATCAACTGTAAAGACTGTTCACAGCACTGCTTTGGCCAGTCTAGCTTTCGGATTCTTCAAAAACTTTATGAGCACTAAGTAGCAGTACAGCGACATGACGAAGTCTCCTTGGTTTCAATGCACATAGCAGACCACAACCACAAATTTGAGTGAGAGAGTATGGAAATCCTTAAAAAAGCAGGTTCCGAAGCAGTAAAAGAAGTTCTAGACACATGGCATTCCTGTGAAAAGCTAAACAGCGAAAATGTTGATATGCACTTAATCTGCTTGAGAAGAAAACAGGGATCCATCAAACACGTGTGAACTACCAAATAAATCAATAATAAAGCACAGTGTCATAACAATAAGTAGTACAATTTCCCCTAACAACGATTCTCTATCAGTGAGACCAAATGAAATATAAGCTGAAACAGATGGAGATACTATAAAAAAAATCTCTTCCCCAGCTTACAGCTGGCAAAACTACCACCTAAACGTTCGTGCAACATTTACATGCGCTTCAATACCTTGTGAAGTTATTGCTGAAGATGTGGCCATACCTGGTGATGAAACGTCCGTGACTAAATATCAAAGCTCAGAAAACATCATCATGACCTTCAAATCTTTTCCATTATTAGTTTACCCGCTGTAGCATACCGTGATAAAGTCATTATTAACTGAATGATTCTTCAAGCTCAATTTATTGCTCATAATTAAATGAAGGACATAGACGTACTACATCATTATAAATCATACTAAACTAACCGATCTAATATGGAATGCTAATCTATCACAGTCTCTTACCTTTACTCTTACATCAGTATGCGTTAAAACCATTCAATCCTTAATAATCTTGATTTTCATATGCATACCTTTGATATTAGTGGATGCGTAAGTAAAAGTAAGTGTTCAACTTGTTTCCAAAAATGTCCTAAGGTAGGACTAATAAACATGAATTAATTGAACATTTAGATTATGATGAGCTTGAGCATGTAAGTTTAACTAATTTGTAAGGAATCAGGTAGGATTGAGAATGAGGCATGTTGTTAGCTTTCATCACCTAGTCAATATACCGACTGATATTTGTATTAACTCAAAAACAAACTTTAGTTACATGCCTGCCTAATAATAAATACATACCCACCTGATGATTGGGATAAGCTTGTTCATTTGATCTAACTATTTTCATGTTGATCGTAGTTTATGGAAAATCCTAAATTTGTGAATCATTAACTCCTGTAAATTGTAAAAGCACGTGATTCTTGAACAAAATGATCTAAATTAAAGTTAAACTATTTGTTTTGGCTTAATGCTGAAAAACTGTACAACACTAGTGATCTTTTTCGGCAAAAAAATGCAGTTTACCTTGCTGTAAGTACAGCTCATTGGCCAATAAATGATTTGTGTAAACAGAAACCCAGAGCATAATATTATGGGAAATGAAATTGCAGATGATAGATTTGAGGATCCATGAAAGTAAGTCTCAGTGACCTAGAAGTCTACATTTAGTGGATTTCATACAGAGTGAAATATGTGTACCTGCTTCCCAGTGAATGACGTTGTTCCCACCAGGACTTGGACTCGGGAGCGATCGCTCCAAACGCCAGCGCATTATCCACTACACCACGATAGCCACTTCTTGTGCGACGGGTATAGGTTTAGTGTTATTGCTTGTATTACACCGTCGTTGATTGGACCGAATTGATCAGTTTCTGTTGGCATATGGTCTCCTATGCGGATGCCTCGATATTGCCTGTCTTTTAACTATGTTTAGTAATGATGGGCAGTGACTAGCGGTGGAATCCAGGATTCGCGTTTCGTCCTGTTTGGGACTCGTCAAAATTGTTGTAAAGAAAAGCATCTTTGTCAAAGGTTCTAAACAAGACTGTGTAAATCTTTTGTCAATTGAAATCATCCCCTAAATGAATGACACTACTATAATACTTTTCCCTTCAAAAATGTCGTCGTCAATTTCCGGTACTAGGCTTTATGGTTATATGCATATAAAAACTCGGGGATAACAATAATAACTGAAAAAATTAAATCAAGTTTTAGCCAGATGTGTGGCAGTATTTGGGTGCTCTAAACTCAGTGTAACAACTGTAGGAATTTCTGATGTAGTTAACATTAACTTCATACATTCCAGATAATGCTTTTTTAATTTGACTAATCCGTTTAACACAGAAAAAGGGGTTAACGTGGATTTTCTTTATCCAAACTAATGACTGAACAGCCAGAGTATTGTTATGCCTCCTGCGAATGAAAACAAACCGATTATTAGAAATATAAAAAAGAAACTGAAAAAGTTCTGTCAAATACTTTACACTGCTTTATAGAACTATCAGGGTAATAATTATGAAGTTGAAACTAAACAAGGTAAAATAACTTTTTTTCTGTACTGAACAAATGCTGGAAAACAAATTACATGCGTTACACAAGTGATGGCTTCTGTGACTCAGCAACCTAGTGGATAACGCTTTGGCGTATGAAGCAACGTGTTGAGATACATTCAGTTGAGAAACCACAAATGGGATGAAATGCGCACCCTAGACTCCACTGTTAGTTACTACCACCAAGCAAATAACATTCAGATACTAAAAAGGTGAATATTCACAAGTATTTTCCTGCCACAGTTTAAAGTACACTAGAAAATAAAACAGCTAACCGAAATTTCATTCACTATAACTAAGAATTTGGAATAGAAAAGTAGGAACAGATAGTCAAGATCTGAAGTATGACTACCAAATAAGTAAAATTACGTACATTGATTGGTCACGAGAAAGCAACCATTTTCATGTTGTCTAGTCTTGAATCCTAACGGAATTTTTTCGATCACTTTTATAATGTGGCCATCAAGCTACGAGGTTCAGCATCACGGTGCATATTGATAAATTTTAGTTGGTTGAAGGCAATCGGTAGCAAGCCCTGCTTCAACTAGGTTTCGTGCTTACTGGTACTTGTCAGTAAGGCGTATCTGCAACCTCGATGGAACTTAGTAACATCACTGGCTACAACACTGGGTGGCGAATCCCAAAAGAGACATGAGTTCCCTCGAGATTATAGATTCGTTTTGCTGCTAAGCGCCAACAAGCACGAAACCTAGGTCCAGGACTTCCTGTCGGTTGCTTCACAGCACCTAAGTAAACCGCGTGAAATGAAAATGACACTGTACTCTTTATTGGTATCATAATATACACTAACTCTGAATGTATTTCTTCTAAACATTGAATTGAAATTTGAAAATTTTCATTGTCAGAGTCTCAACTATGCACATATGCTTCATCATTTTCAGTAAAGTAACTATAAAACACATTCCAACTTAATTCAATACTGTATACCATTCCTCTGAATGTATTGTAATATCTTTTAAGAAGTGAAAAGACTGTTTTACTTAATCGCTCATTTGAAATGTTTTTATGGTACTTGTAATTTCCCGTTGCTATGCAGGGTCGAACTGCTCGACCTCTGTCGACAGATAGGCTCCTATGCGCATGTTTCGGTAGTCCCGGATATTCTTGGTGTTATATTAATCTTGGTAACCTGCAGAGGAATCCAGGAAGCACGTTTCCTCCTATTTGAGACTCGTCAGGTGGATGTACCTCCACTCTAATGAGTAATGTCATTCCTACTGAAATGGTTTAGCAAGTGAGCATTTATCCATGTTCGACAAAGTAATTGATGATACTTGAAAAGTTAGACAAGTGATGTTCAACACTTTTTGAAAAAAAAACTAGAAAAATCTAATATCCCAATATAATCATATTATATAATAAAATAACCATAAAATGTCTCACCACAGTTCCCAGATTCTACATTCATGATAATCTGAGATCCTCTATTGAATAAACTTTTCTGATATCCGGATTATTTGGTATTCTCCCTCATCGACTAAAATTTTACAGTAAAACTGACATATACCGAATGAAGAATGGTCGACTGCAACCTTCACAGGACTAAACTACTGTTTTTCGTAAGTAAATCTCATGGACGACAAGAATCATGAAAACGCAAGTTTAAAGGAATGTCGCCATGAAAAAGCACATCAGCTTGTTTGAAAATGGACAAAGTCAGAACTACTGTTTTTAACACAATTGGACGAAAAAAGAAACTCAGCAACCCTGTGCAAAGGAGTACAGTAGGCGATAAGCCACACCTACTGTGTGAGGGCTAGTATTGCTACCTGGCTGCCAAAACCTCGCTATGTAGAGTGATGTTCAAATCGGAGACCCACTCTTTAAACCACTGAGTCACAACACATTTTGAAACCTATAACTGAACAGAACGCAAGCACTATTAATAAATAAAGGGAAATGAACTGCAATGTTTATATTGTTAGTTTCTGTTTCACCTTCAAATATCCGATCAATTTTAATCGCAGTCGAAAGCTGAATTATCATTGTTTTTCAGCAAATAATTAAGGCAGGATAATTTCACTACGAAAGCTAATTGAATAATACAGGGGGACAAGTATTTTTCAATCATCAGGTCAACAAATAATTTAAAAAAAACCATAATTATTTACTATCTTCATGTTCATTCGATTATCAAAATGATTTGTTTTTGATTTCAGGCACACAACAGGTTAGGGGGAAAATTGATTTGATCCCATTGTAAAAAGCTGATAATCAAATGAAGTTCAGATAAACTGAATACTGACCACCCATTTCATATTCCTTTCTAATCGGACTTAAGTTGGGTGAGGTGTGGTGGTGGGCTGTAAAATTGCAGTGCTGTTGAAATCTGTTCACATCTTGCCTGGTAGACAAATAATTGTTATTAATTACTCTCGGTTTGCATATAAATAAAAACACATATATACTTTAATGAAACCATTCCCTTTTCGCTTAGTTGTGTAACCACACTGTTTGAAATTTCGAACTCAGTTTATCAGTTTGTATTAAAATACTGTATATCTAATATAAAATATCATTTTATACCAATAATCAATTTAATTATTTTTGTCTTCACTACAGTACACGGACTTGTCAAGATTTTGAACAAGATAAAGGCAGTAACGGTGGTCTAGAGGATAACGCTTTGGAATTTGAGGCGATGGGTACTGGATTCGAGTCTCAGTAGGGACAACGTCACTCGCTGGGGTCCAGGTACACCCAGCTGACAAGTTCCAAATAAGACGAAACGATCGTCATGGATGCTACTGATAATCACCAACATAAATACAGTAGCTTATTAGAAAGTTAATTATACTTTTGCTAACCATTATTATAGAGAAGCGAATTAACCAATGTGTCAGTATTTACGCTCCTTCCATATGCTTCGCTTTTACCGAAAGATTCATCAGCATGCAATTTATTTGGTGGTGGTGGTTAGTAGTATAATAAGACTAAATGTGCATTCACTAGCTTTAAGCATCATTTCTTACTTATTGTTAATCGAATCTGACTCAAAATAGTAGTTCATGAGAACAAACAGCCTCAGTGGTTGTATTGAAATTAGAATTAGCTTAAAATATTACTGTTTCTGCACTCTTACCCATCAAATGTATGTGACTGTTCACTACTGAATTAAATAATATTTAAAGACAACAAAATGAATTGGAAGTGACATGCAAAAATAAACATTATACTCAATAAGGGAAAAACTCTTGAATCAACCACCACCACCCCCTACAACTCGTCCAGAAATAACACCAGCGGCCGAACCACAGAACCATCAGTGAATACAAACGCTCCGAAAAAAGCCGAAGTCCTGAATGCCATAAAGTTCCAGAAAGCCAGAAAAGCAACACTACCAGATGGAATTCCTCCAGAATCACTGAAAACAGACACACAGACATCAGCTGACATGCTCACACCACCATTGCAGAAGGTTTGGGAGGAAGGAAGGAAGGAAGGAAAGGTACCTGTCTATTGATTAGAAGAAGGGTTACCTTGTCAAACTCCCAAAGAAGGCAGACCTAAGTCCTTGCAAGAACTGGCGGGGAATCATGCTCCTGTCCACCCACACCATGCAAAATATTAAGCCACATTATCCTGGAGAGACTGAAAGATGAGCTGGGTTCAGAATGACGACCAGAACAGGCTGGCTGGTTAGCTTCAGAAAGAACAAATCATGTGCCGATCAAATTGTAACACAACACAACACAACACAACCCATCATCACAGAAGAGAGTATAGAATGGCAGTCAATGGTACCTGTACATCAACTTCATCGACTTTGAAAGGGCCTCCGACAGCGTCGACCGAGAAGTAATTTGGCAACTGCTACTTCAAAACTGTGGTTTCAGTTCCACAAACATTTATCAACCTCATTCAGCAGTGTTATGCCGACACCACATACTGAGTGATCCACAATGGAAAACTCAGCTTAGTGATGACTTTGAAGTGAGGATAGGAGATAGGAGTAAGACAAGACTGCCACCTACTATCACCGACGATCTTGCTGATTGTGGTCAACTGTACTCGACGGGATCATGCAACAAACTGTGAGGAGGGAGAAGATGGACATATGCTGGTTGGACAGATGAAGAGACCCCAGAAGAAGATTTGTATTTCACTGATGACGATGGTTTATGTCTAATGTCTTGTTGCACAAGCTAGAAGATCTACAGGCGAAAAATAAGAAGTTGTCAGAAGTGGTGAGGCAGCGAAGATGGAACTCCTTTCAGGTGAACGTAGAGAAGACTGAGGTGATGAAGACACCCAACCACCACAAACAACAACAACAACAACAAGCGGCGATCAGCATGAACGGGAGGAACCTAAAGGAAGTAGTCTCTTTCACCCACCACCACCACCACCTAGGCAGGACAGCATCGTTTCAACTACAGGTGGCACAGGCGAGGATGTCAAAGTAGCCAGGATCGGAAAAACAAGACAGGCTTTCACTAACTAACCTTAAACCAGTGTGGAGATCTACTGCAATGCACTGTACTCCACTCAGCATAAGGTGTGAACAACATCCGGATTTTCAACACTGATTCAGTCAAGTCGGTGCTGCTATAAGGTTCAGAAACTTGGCGTGTCACGAAAAGCATTTGCAGCAAACTACAGACATACATCACCGACAGCTGCCGCCTACGCTCACTGGATATTGAAGATCAGATGGCGAGAACAATAGGAATAAGCAACAAGAAACTCTGGCTGGCTGGCTGGCTGGCTGGCTGGCTGGCTGGCTGGCTGGCTGGCTGGCTGGCTGGCTGGCTGGCTGGCTGGCTGGCTGGCTGGCTGGCTGGCTGGCTGGCTGGCTGGCTGGCTGGCTGGCTGGCTGGCTGGCTGGCTGGCTGGCTGGCTGGCTGGCTGGCTGGCTGGCTGGCTGGCTGGCTGGCTGGCTGGCTGGCTGGCTGGCTGGCTGGCTGGCTGGCTGGCTGGCTGGCTGGCTGGCTGGCTGGCTGGCTGGCTGGCTGGCTGGCTGGCTGGCTGGCTGGCTGGCTGGCTGGCTGGCTGGCTGGCAACGAACCAATGAAGCAAGAACCTATCGTCGAACAAATCTGCAGAATAAGGTGGAGATGGATAGAGCATACACTCAGAAAACCATTCGGAGACATCACGCGCCAGGCCAGGCCAGGCCAAGCCGAGCCAAGCCGTCAAGTTGAATTCAAAGGGGAAACGACGAGTTGGGCGTCCGAGGTGAGGGTGACATGGGGGAGATTGTAAGAGGAAGAAATGAAAGCATGTGGTCAGTGGTGGAGCCAGGTTAAAAAAGACTTCAGAGAAGAGAGTGAAGTGGAGGCATGCTAGTGAAGCTCTATGTTCCACTAGGAACCCAAAGGACAAATAATAATGAGGAAATCCAACTCAACCGTAGCATGTGGCATCTAAAATTACTTTACACCACTGAAACATGAAAAACTGTGCATAGTATTTAAACAGCCAATTTTTAGGGGATAAAGCTTAGAATAATTAGTCTCTAGCTATTACTCCTCACTGTTTATATAGCATCTATTTCGTTAGTTCACACTGACTGAAATTAAAGGAGATCATGTCTCATTAATGTGTGTATTGATTGGTCACTGGAGTCCAACCAATTTCATGTTGTCTAGTCCTGATTGCAGATCGAATCCTATCGATCATATTTACAGTGTGGCCACCAAGCTAGGAGGCTTAGTATCACGGTGCACATTAGCAGATGTTAGTTGGTTGGAGGCAACTGGCAGGAAGCCCTGTACCTCCTAGCTTGGTGGCTACATTACGTCTTGATCGTCGACTGGACCGAATTGATCCGCCACAATTGTTAATAGGCTTCCACTCAGGAGCCTATTGGCAATAATCACTGACCAATTCGGTCTAATCAACAACCAAGGCATACAAGCTATAGCATCAAAAAGTCTTTTTTCGTTAAAATAAGTGTTCAGAACACAATTTTTTTATCTTAAGTAGTCCCTATCAGTCGTTGAAAGAGTAGTCCACTGTTGTATAATTTTCTTTCAATCCTGCAAATACCAGTCTACTAGTAGTTGAGAAGATATGAAGAATACATCGAAGATTAGGATGATTAAAACTTCTGTTTTTCCAGTTTCTTCTCCTGACAATGCTAGTCTCCAAAGTAAAGTATACAAAATCAAATATCTTAGACACATTTACTAAGTGTTAGTATATAAACTCCATACAGATATGACTATGAAACAGAAAAGAAAAATCAAGCGTTGTTTGTATAAAAGCATTGTTGATTGAAATCACTGAAAAAAATAGGCGTTGAAAAACACTGGCACGTGTCAAAATCACACTTCAATTAATCATCAAAAGAAGCAATAAATACACAATTAGATAACATATCCTCTTGATGTCAGCTAAGTGTAACATTAATGTAAATAATGAAAGTAATAACAACCAGAAAGCAATACAATATTAGTAATAAAAACAACTCTATTGAATAGTGATATTCCAAACAACTAATGATTGTTATAATGATGTTAGGGATTCTCACAGTACTAGTACACAGTATCAGTGCACACTCAGTAAGATTTTATTCTATTCACCTAACTGCCTTTCCTTCTTATTCATACTTTAGATAAATTACATCTAGGGTAAATAATAAGAAAAAAGTATATTATTAGGCGTATGACTACATGTATGCATACAGTGACAGATAATTACACTTCCTGCTAGATGAATACGCCCATTGAAGAATAAAAGTGCAGGTTGTGAAAACTGTGTATTATAGGTGATGATAATTATTTCAGGTGAACGGAAACAACACATAAGTCTTATAAAATTGTTCATTTAGAACAAACGTTATGGAAATCCTTTCACTAATAACTGAATTTCCTGAATTCCGCTAACTGATCTTGCAGTTCCTGCTGCTGCTGCTGCTGCTGCTGCTGCTACTACTACTACTACTACTACTACTACTACTACTACTACTACTACTACTACTACTACTACTACTACTACTACTACTACTACTACTACTACTACTACTACTACTACTACTACTACTACTACTACTACTACTACTACTACTACTACTACTACTACTACTACTACTACTACTACTACTACTACTACTACTACTACTACTACTACTACTACTACTACTACTACTACTACTACTACTACTACTACTACTACTACTACTACTACTACTACTACTACTACTACTACTACTACTACTACTACTACTACTACTACTACTACTACTACTACTACTACTACTACTACTACTACTACTACTACTACTACTACTACTACTACTACTACTACTACTACTACTACTACTACTACTACTACTACTACTACTACTACTACTACTACTACTACTACTACTACTACTACTACTACTACTACTACTACTACTACTACTACTACTACTACTACTACTAACAATAATAATAAACTATTACTGTTGCCAACCATATAAATTAACAGGAATTTCTTTTGACACAGTATCTTCAAGGTTTAAGAAAACGGAACTTTTTTTAAGTGTCATGCGCAGGATACAACTGGGAGACTAATTTTATCAGATCACTAAATGAGTGAATATAAAAGCTCCAACAACTATATGGACAAGTGGCACAGTGGCTGAGGGACTCAATTTTCAACCTATGGGTCCCAAATATAAACCCTATCCAACCTAAGTCAGCCTGAGAAACCAGGCAGTATCATAAACTACCGCAAGATGAGTATGGTTCATAGTACCGGATTGAGTTGCATTTTATCTGTGCATTATCTATTAACAAGTAAACATTTATGACCGACTGATTCGATATCACCGAGCTACAAAAGTGACGTTTTTGAACTTAACATAGGTGAGTGAATCCACTAGTATTAAACTTGTTTTATTAATTTTTGTTGTACTAATACCCATATGGGCTGAAAGTAATTTTTACAGTAGGAAGTCAGAAAAGAAAAAGAAATAATGCTTAAAATTTTTTTAAAAAAGGATTTTCCTTAGCAAATGCTCTTAATAGATGCCTTGACAAGTAGACTGTATGACAAGCAACAGTCATCAGTTATCTTGGATTTTTAAGGAAGTTTGGTTCTTACTTTTACTCAGCTATATCATTAACCATAACTGGACCTAAATATCACTACACCACGTCTACTATTGATCACTGTCAATAAAGAACAAATCACTAACCAAAATGTTAACTTTATGTTTTATTAGTTCTCCTATGGTTAATTATTGACATATCTAGTGGTATGATTGTTAAGCTACCTTACTTAACCCAACTATTATTAAAGAAGCAAAGAATGAATTTTGATAACTAAAACAAACATTTATCGATACAAATTCTCTTTCAGTGTTGCTGCAGCGGTCCTCAAAAAGTGGTTCATGAAATGAAGTTAAGCAAAAAGTAAAGCAGTCATACGTGGTGCATCAAGACGCAGAGGGATCATTTTCGAGGTAATCATCATGAACCGACTACCCATTAATCTTCTAACCAAATCGCAATCTTGTGGTCAAACTGAAATCACTCAGAGATGGATTTTCCAAAGATCTCTTGAAAAGGTTTGGTTTATGGGGTCGATCAAGTTGGGTATGAAGACAATTGATCATCGACTGCAATGGATAACAGTTATCTTACATCGTAGATAAACAAGATTTTGATAATGTTTACTGCTGCATTCTAAACTAGTCCCCGAATCTAAGGCAGTCAGCATAAAACTCAGTGGACCTGAGTTACATTCTGCTTGAATGCATGGGAGAGGACAATGCGAAAGTCCTAAAATAAAATTAAGTAGTTGTCCACTGCTGCCTGATTCTCAGCGTCTACTGTAGCTGATGTCAATTTATGATAAGTGCTTTAAAAGCAGTGAATGCCATACTGATGTCTGAATTACATGAATTTTTCAGAAAACCTTGTTGTTGGGCCGTTGAAAAACCACTCAGTTATGAGAAATGTCAATATGTTAATCACTTGCAATTTGACTATCCTATCTTAGGTATGCTAGTCTATGCACGTTAGCTAGGCAGATTCAGGTGATCTGAAATCACTTGGTTGCATGAACTGAATTTGTCCGGGTATATCACTGATGAGCTCAACCTCAAAAGAGATCAGCAGACGTCCGGTGTTTAGATCACTGTGATCTGGCTGGCAAAATCTACAGATCAGTATGAGTGATTTCTGACTACTTAAGTTGTTCAACATTAGTATTTTCCAGGAACCCTAATAACAAAGTAAGTAGGCAACCCTGTATTCACCTTGCTGACTAGTAGTGGAATCCAGGATTCATGTTTTGTCCTATTTGGGACTTGTCAGCTGGATGTACCTGTACCCCACTGGGTTATGTTGTTCGCGTTGAGCCCAATGGATTACGCTATGGAGCCTGATGTGATGGATATTAGGTTTGAGTCTCAGTGGGAGCGGCATCATTCAGTAGGGTGACCGGTCTTAAATAGAAGGAAACCCGTGTTTCTGGATTCCATTGCCAGTCACCAAGATGAATACGGCATTATGAATATCCGGCAGTGTTGCAGCATCCTCGGAAGTGACCATCTCCGAACGAAGGTCAAGGAATTCGACCCATTATGTCGGCGGAAAATTACGAGCAACAAACAACAAAAGCAAGTGATCATTTACACTTTAGGTGAAAATTTTGGCTGTATTTAGTAGTATTAAATAATTCCTTCATTAGTAATCGAAAGTGCTGTTATAACGATTAAGAGATTTCTTCCCCTTACAAAAACGCAACATTGACATACGTTTTCGGTTTCAGTTTAAAAAGTTCAACCACTCTAACCTGTTCCATCTTAGTATTTCTATTGGTCCAAAATATTCACCTCACTCCCTATCCAGAAGGGAACGGAAACGTATGTACATACACACAGTCGTGTGAATACAAGTGAAATTCAAGTCACAACGTGCAAAATTCTTTTGTTTTGTCCCGAAGATGCAATAAGTCGCCAATAGGGTAGAGAATGAAAGGGGAGTGAGAATGGAATAGGCGAGTCGATTAAAGGATGAAATGACAAAGCTTTTATCATACAAAATAAAATTTTGAACAAATCAGACAGAATCCACCTAACAAAATGCAACACTCATAAGTTCTAGTGATAGAAAAGGTGTGAAGCGAGGGGAGAAGGAATGGTGAATTTGAGACAGTGTTGTCTTGAGCAAACCAGCTCAAATTGCAATGAAAAGAGTTCACATCCATTTTGTTTAAATACACATGTATAGAATACGCAGGTTGAATTAATCAACCCATACTTATTGATCTTCACTTTTCTGCGAGATTCGTCAACCTCTTGCGAAATAAAAGCCGGTTAAAAAGATCAAACATTTGCGTACATAACCTGTGGTATCACTGATTTCCTCAACAAGAATTACATGTATGCAAATATATTATTTTGACAATAAATTGTATTCTCCAACGTCCTTATGCACAAAAAGGAATTAAGATACTTAACCTTATCAACAGTTTCAGTAAGTTAAGTTTTTAAAAAGTAATTTTGAGTTTTTAAAGAAATGGTGACTAGTCAGAAGTTGTATTTGTGGTATAAATTGTTTATTTATTTTGAAAAACCGTCGATATATAGATCCCATGAATCATATTATGGTGAATGATTTCATCTGTCTTGCGTTCAAGAGACCGGTGTTTGGGTTCTCCATGTTGTCCAGGTAGACTCACAAATACCTAGATGCATAGAAATATGTTGTTGTATTCATTTTATGGTTTTCATCCGTGTAGAAGTCAAGAATCCAAACTCCAAATCCTTTGTTACAGAATAAAAAATCCCCTCAATGCCTTCTAACTTCTGCAATAAGTGTAATATACCTCTTAACTATATCTACTTACACTATTGATTTCAGGTTGGTATTCACCGTCGACTGACATCAAGTGGAAAAAACATTAAAAACCTGGGAGGACTGGATAACTGTTTTGTCCAAATATGAGACTCCATAGCAGTGCTCACCCATGACACCGCTGCGGATCTAGCCCAGTGGCTTAATTATAAGTTTACCCGACGGTCCCGAGTTCGACTCCTATCGGGGTCGTGGGTGCCTACTGCTGAGTCCTGTACTAGGGTTAAACAGCTGTCCAATGCTCTCAGGTTTCAATGTTTCTCCACTTGATGTCAGTGCATGACGAATACCAGACTGTAATTTTTGCGTTTCTTTGGACAAATTAATCAACTTTCGGTGAAAAGGTAATTCTCCGTTATATGTTGTTCACTATATGTCAGATAATCATAACTACAGACTCAGTGAATAATGTTGTCTTCGCTGGGACTCGAACCCAGTACCCATCACTTCAAACGCCAAACCGCATCAAGTATCAATAAACAATAACTGATACCTGTTGCACAAGTGGTGGCTCTCACACCTCAGCGGCCTAGTGGAAAACCCTTTGGCGGTCGAAACGGTGGGTGCTGGGTTCAAGTCCCTGTGGGGGACAACGTCACATACCAGGGTAAATTCAGCTGGCGAGTCCCAAGTAGGGCGGAGCACTCGTCGTGGATTCCACTGTTTGCCATCGAATAGACTACAACAGAACAAAACATGTTTACAGGTAGGTAGCTTCTTAATCAGACTACTTCTAAAGACTAGGGTTCAAATTGACCGATAATTTGCTTACTTCAGCCTAAAGTTTGATTCCATTTCTAACAATCGCCTCAGAATACATATTATCTTCTATTGAAGACCACCTCATTTTATGCACTGTTATTTTGGTGGTTTTACATCTCGTCAGTCGTTAATCAAGAAATAAGTTTTCATGAATAAAATAGCCATGGTTTGGCAGATTGGTATTATCGATCCCGGGTAACCGGACGAAATTCTTGGTGAATGAAGTCTAGTTAGCATCTGTTTGACAGTAATATTTTGTAGGTCATTTGATACAGCTAGGCTCTGGTAACCTGGAACCCGCCGGTTTAGATAGTGTCGTGATCCAGGCTTTTATTTTACCTTCAATTACACAATATAAAAATGATTCCATGTAATAAACTACCGAAGCCACCACTATCTTTACATTAAATTCTGAGACTTTACTTTGCATCATTGTCTTACATATGGACTTTCCAAGTTAATATTCATCACAGACTGATATCAGTTGGAGGAATATTGCAAACCTGGGAGAACTGAACAGCTGCTTCGTTCTAGTATGAGACTTCTCAACGGTGAGCACCCATGACCCCACCAGGGACCGAACCCAGGACCTTCAGGTTCCGTTTAAAAGATATCATTCTTAATAAAACAGAACATTTTCAAAACTTTCGGCTTTAGGAACAAGATTGGTGTAAATTGGACCAATTTAATCCATTTAAGAAAAGAAGTTACGAAATTTCATAAAACAGTAGTGTTTACATTTACTGTGTCAACATTTTTTTCTTCAGCATTATTAACAGACACATTTCAGCCGAGAATTAGTACATAAATTTGCTGGAAAATTTGAATTGAACCACTCCAGATAGATTGG